GCATTATTTGAATTAGTAAAATGAAAAAGCCGGTCACATTTTAACAATTTCTATACATTACTATCAGAGTTAAGGCCCTTATTTCAGTTTGTAGAACCTTGTGAACCCTCATATGACGAAAATTATAATCTGATATGTAATTATCTACAAAAGTATCACCGAATAGTGGTACTAATTTTTAGTTCTTTTTCAAATTTTATTTTAAGAATACATAATTTAATTCTTAACTCTGTATTCACGTACATAGGCAATATAGCTAACATTAAGGTTATTAGTCTGTCTTTACTTTTAATGTTAATATTTTGATTTAAAGTCTATAAAGTAATTGCCTAAAATTTCCTAAAAGCAACAATGGTCTTGACTGTGTTATAACAATGCAGTCAGATCAGTGCCAAGCAAGTGTCAACGCTTTTTACTTTATTTAGGGCTTAAAGCTTATTAACTAATTCTATAATTTTTTTACTGTAAAACTTTTACCCAATGAAATTTATATATTAATTTAACTTCTTTCATTTGATTCGTTACTATATATTTTTATCCCTAATTTTATCTTTAATCTGATTTGTTGAAATGATTGTCTTTTTGTCTGTATGCAAATTAGTTTGTTTAAAAGACCCCTACACAGACAGAAGAGACATAAAAATATACAGGGAGATCAGATGAGATAGGAGATAGGGTTAAGACGTTTAATAACCCTTTGATATGATCTTGTAAATAATGTATTTTTAAACTGTATATAATGTAATATTGAAACGGATTTGGGATTTAATGTACAGTGACCACTTCTCCATAAATGAGCTATGTACACTCCCAATCCTAGCTCATCCATATGTATGCAATATTACATATGTATCACCTGGGTGCATATTCAAATGCAGAATAGCCCCGAAACGTTGGTGATAAAAGAATAAATGTGCGACAACCTTTGTCGAACGCTCGGACGATTTAGCTGCCGGGGGCGTACGTTTCATTGCCTGGCAACCAATCTTTTACCATACCAAAGAATATAAGTTCATTTTTGGTATACATAGTTAATATTAAATACTAATGCCAATGTGGACACAGCCTTAGTGATGGCCTCTGATGAACCTGTAACATGTAGGTCATCGACCTGAGACTCTGACCATCAGCTGTCAGTAGTCAATGATACAGACATCAATTCAGAGAAAATGACTACAATATAGTCTAGTCTGCTTTATCTCCTCAAATCAATGGTCTGTATTGACTATAAATCTGTCATACTGTTTGGTGATTTTTTAAAACAATTTTCATGTACAATTCCACAGCAACCCAATTATTGTTTCTTCTAAGAATGCTAGCCTCAGTTTGGTTGGTAATTAAAATTATACCCATTTGTACACACACAATGAAATCAATTACCTGGTAAGCAGAAGTAGTGCAATTATGACACGGTTATCTGGTCTACATGATGAAATGGGGGTCCATGTTGAATAAATATCAACAATTCATATTTACGTGTTAAATAAATTTAAAGTCACATATTGCTCATTGACCTGTTCAACCAGGTAAAGGATCAACACACGAACTAAACTTATCATCCTACAGTCTTGTCTATCAAGATCCAAATATATGCAATATTTGATTGAGAGTCCATCTCGAATAAGTATCAACAAGTCATATTTACATAAAATAAGCTTTTTGACTTCTTTATACTGGCAATGATAAACATGTGAATAAAACATGTTGCACAAACAGCCAAGGTCAGATATCCCGGCAAATTATATGTACAGTAGACCCATCTTCAAGCCAGATTTCTGATGGCAATCAACCCTGTTATGTATGTATAGGGTGCCCCACCATAAATAAATATCTTCAAGATATCGATAATTATACCACAATATTTATGCAAGCCTTAACAGTTTGTCCCATTTACCATCACTAAATAAACGGTCTGGTAATTGTATAACAAATTATAACTATTTAGAGTGCAATAAAAAACATAGGTTGCCAGGTAGCGAAACATACGCCCACAGTAGCTAAATCGTCCGGGCAGTCAACAAGAGTTGTCGCATATTTTTACTTTTTTCGGTAATGAAACATTTATAATACACTAAAATCTGATTAAGAGTAAGAACTCATTAAGTAATTATCAGAAAATCTTTAGAATTTGTTTGGTTTTTAAAAAGTTCTGCCGCATGCTAACGTTTATTATACGAAACATTTACTATCATGGATTTAGCTGTTCAAGTTATCAAAATTGATTGAAAATCAATATACTTGTTCGTCTCAAGACCTTAGACTCTGTGTATCAATCTGAAAATGAAATGAAATGAAATGAAATGGGGTTTAACGTCCAACTGTTCTGCTCCTAACCTGGGCTAATGAAGACGGGCATACGCCATACAGTGTGCTATGAGTGAAATTTTGCCCGGGCAGCGGCACTACGGCCTACTCTTATATCGAATTCCAACTGCCAAGGGATCTTTTACTTGCACGCCAATGTGTACACGGGACCTCGATTTTTCGTCCCATCCGAACGACTAGACAGCTTTCCTTAGCAGCCCCTCCGTCCTGCATCACTGACAAGGGAGAACCACGCCGGAAAATCTGGATGAACTTTCTCGGCCAATGCAGGGATCGAACACCCGACCTCCAGACTAGCGAGCTAGCGTCTTACCCACTTAGCCACGTGATCCCCGTATCAGTCTGAGGTCAATCGGATGATAACTTAACCCTCTAGAGCGTCACAAGATTTTTCAAAGTGATCAAGGGCTATAACTTTGGCAGTAATTATCGGAAATTGTTGAAAATCAATAGGATTCTTCGTCTCATGACCTCAAACACTGCGTATAAATTTAAAGGGAATCAGATATTAGCGTTAGCCTCTAGAGCATCCATAACATTTTTTGAAGTGATCAAGGGCCATAGGGTCCACAAGCTAATAAACTCGATTTTTCGTACAATCAGGGGCCATAATTCAGGAAGTTACCGTCCGATATGCGCGAATATCGAAAGGAACTGAGATCTTTGGGTTATAAACTTACATTTCAAGTTTCAACAAAATCAGATAAAAATTGTGACCTCTATAGAGTCCACAACCTTGATATACCATATTTTTACGCTATTTGAGAACGATGGGCGGCCATTTTGTCAGTCAGTTTTAATCTGATTTTCACGAAATTCGCACTCTGTCATCCTTAGGGTGTAACGGTGATATACTTACACGTTTTTTTAAATCGGATAAAAATTATGACCTCTATAGGGTCCACAAGTTAAAAACGCGATTTTGCGTACAATTAGGGGCCATAATTGAGGAAGTTATGGTCCGTTATAGGCAAATATTGTAAGGAACTGCGGTCTGTGGGTTATAAACATATATTTCAAGTTTAAACCAAATCGGATAAAAATTGTGACATCTACAGTGTTCACAAGCTAAACACGCGATTTTTCGTACAATCAAGTTACAGTCCGATACATGCCAATATCGAAAGGAACCGAGATATTAGGGTGATAAACCTATATTTCAAGTTTCGTTGAAATCAGATAAAAATTGTGACCTCTAGAGTGTTCACAAACAATTGTGGACGTCCGGATGGACGGACAGGGGCGACGACAATATATACGTCCACATGAAAATGTAGGCGTATAAAAATGACTATAACATGTAGCCTTCTGACAAATTCCACTACTTTTCTGCTCCTACTGCTTAAGAAGTGTGCATATGCCATGCAGTGTGCTATGAGGGATGGGTTTCCAGTTCCACCCTCTCTTCATTCATTTCTAACTGTTGTGCCCGCCAACAAGTCGTTAGATTCTTTTCTTTCAGACATTTGAGAATGATGTGAAGTTTGATATGTTTATATCTGACTAATTATATATGATGCAATATATCAACAATCTCATATCTATATGCAGTATGTTTTAGTCTTTTTAATCCCACGATTGTAGATTGTACGTGACAAGTCACCTTACTCTGATAATGTTTTCAGGGTCAATCAAAGCCCCTAAATCTCGATTTGTTTCAAGTACTTTATATAATTCAATACTTTATTTCAAATCTGACAAAATGGTCAAAAGTCATTGTGTATACTACCATGGACTGTATATTATATGTATACACGGTCCATGATATTATAGAATTGAGTTCTTGGGTCATTTATGATAGTGTACTATATGCATACATACATGTACGTTATATGCATACATACATGTACGGTCTATGATTTTAATTATATAGAATGATTTCTGTGTCATTGTGTATGCTACTTTATAGGTCCTTTTTAACAATTTATAAAATCCTTCACCTTGTCCATACTGGTAGTACATATTCAAAAGAGTGATATTTAACTTTTGCAAACTAAGAACTATTTTCAATTCACCAATCAGCAAAGTATAGAATAGTAGGACTGCTTTAATATCAGTAGGGCCCCACTCCAAAATTTCAGATATCCTGCATATGCCACTGATTGCCTATCTTAACCCAGATAATGCCCAGACTTGTCTCTTTCCCTCTCTATTTAATGAGACACAAGTGATTATTGACACATTTATTATTTCATACAGTAATAGATTGTAAAACTCACTAGTGATCACTTGTTTAATAGATAGATTTGATACACTTATCTATATTATTTCACAATGAATTGAAAAGATCACAAGTGAATCATGTAAACTGTGTTCAATCAATTCATGACAAAAGAGATAATTCTTTTTTTCAAAGTTGTTTTTGTTTTAGTCACAGTGTCAGTAAATGTGGTGTGCATTCTTTTTTATTTATTTAAATTCATAAGTTAGAAAATGTAAACATTAATTATTATATTTAAAAATATTGAAATACAATATAACCAAATATTGAAATAACCAACAAATTAAACAGCAGCAAATTAAACCAGTACAACAAAAGAACAACTGCAGCAAATGAAACGGTGCTCTCCTTGTCAGGTCCTCCCATCCTGCACCACTGACATGGGGAAACCACATCGGTGGCCTGACTAAAGACATTAAAGCTGTGACTATATTTTGATAATTTTATAACTCACCTGTAATTAATGGACCTGGAGTAAATATGATATGTTTAAAACAATCAATGATTGGTAAAGAAACTGTATGTCAAACACACACAATTAACATCTATGGAAATTCTGAAAAATACAAAATTTTAAATAAGGCTTTTTTTTCTGAATCATAAATCAAACATACTCATTTTTCAAGGAGGAAGTAATAGGTTAATATAGTTACAAGTGGTGTTTGAGTTTATAACACATCAAGTGGTTTGACGACATCTTACTCCTACATCTAATATTGTAAGTACATGTATATAAGGCCTATTACATACTATTAGCCTTCAACTTATTGACAATAGAAGTGACTATAAGCTTATTATCTTAATTTTAATGCATAGTAAAAAATCTATTTATAATCTATATTTGTAGCACCTTTAATTTTAATAAAAGTTTTATAGTTTCTTCTGGCATTAGTCCTGTGCAATACAATATTTTTAAAACTGAATTTTCAGCAAGAGCAATAACTCGGGGAGTAATTATTGGAAACCTCTGTTATTTGATAATGATGCTCATTTGATAACAATGCATTTAAAGAGGATCAGATGATGACTTATGGTGTTAGAGCATAAGACATTTCAATGTGTGCAGGTACAAAACAATGGCACCAATAGAATCTTAAAAAACAAGTACCATTATCCAGACATACAACCACCTTTTAATGTGTACAAATGCTGATATATAGATTTAAGACTGGATAACTCGTGAAGTCAAAATAATGCCACTCATATCAAAAAAGGCAGAGACAATAAAAAAATAAATACTATATCAAAAATACATATTTTTATCCCAAGTTTTGTTTTAAAAAAATGCACCGATTTCTTCCAGGATGAAGAACTTTGTACTTGGTCATTACATTAGAGAAAAATATGTACCACGCCCATCTCACATTTAAGACAATTCAGTGTGGACATGTAAAACGTGTATCAGTGTGGATATGTAAAAGGTGTATCAGTGTGGACAAGTAAAACGTGTACGTCTCAATGTGGGCATATAAAACATATAGTGTGTGGGCAAATAAAAGTATGTCAGTATGGTCATATAAAATGTCTGTGTGTAAACTAGTAACCCATTTTAGGCCGATTGCAAAAAGGATCTTTTACTATGCATTAGATAGTTTAAATCAAACGATGCCACAAAAGCCCTTCACCATTTTTGCAAGAAGAGTTTAAATAATGAAGATTTATCTGTCAAGCTTGACAAACCCTACAACTGCAAGAGACTTGATAAAGTAGCTAAGAATATTCTAACAAGATGACTACTGATGTTATCATTTTAGATTCTACACTATTTCAAAGTTCATTCGAATACAGAAAAACAAGAATTTCTCTTTTTAAACACACTTTATTTATTTCATGTGCAGGATAGTAAAAATGTCAGATGGAAGGAACGCCTTTTAATCAAAGAGATTTTTGGCAGAAGGACCATACTGAAAATGTCAGAATAGTACATGTATAAGGTATATAAAAAGATGCCTTGAGCATTGTGTATTCTGCTAACACCCCATGGCCATACAGCATCTAGTACATTAAGAACGCAGTAGGTAGAGGTATCCTTTCAGTCTGATGTTTCAAATAAATGAACTCTAATCTATAAAACAAAATTTTAAAGGGACATAATGCAACAATTACACCATGATAACATAGTATCAGACCAGTCCTTTTTCACCGACTTCAATGATTAAATCAGCATTATAGGCAGTGCACTGAGCCCCATGTCTTAATAAGGCTCTGACTGAACATAGACTTGTCACAACTATCTGATAAAAATCTTGAATTTGAAGGGGTGTGACCTGACCACAGATTTTTTTTTTAAGAAATGCACCACATGTATACACGTACAACTGTTAATGCTATTGTTTTACGTAAAATGAATTTTCTATAACTTCTAATCTCTTATCCTGCCATATAAAAATCACGTATATGAAGCAAAACTGGGCAAAAAATCATTTTAAAAAAAAAAAGCCCTATCTAATAGCACTTCTATTAATTTGTTCAATCCAGTGAAACTGAAATATGTTTGATCCTTTCCATCCACAAAAAAATATGTTTTCCGGTTGTTGAGACAAAAAATCGAGTTGGTTTGATGTAAAACATGCCTCCAAAAACAATCAACACTGCTAACAGATCAATATAAAGATTGATGAACTGATTATTACCTCCATACTGTTTGTTTATTAACCGCAATTGTATTAATAGTCTATTGCTTTTATCCTTCAGGGTAAACTAATCATTTCAACTATGGAGGTGTTCACTTTTTATTTCAGATATTAAATGAAATGGGGTTTAGCATTCTACTTTTCTGCACTAACTGGTCTAATGAAGACAGGCATACACCATGCAGTATGCCATGAAGGAAATTTCGCCTCCTTTTACTTCGAATTCTGTCAAGGGTTCTTTTATGTGCATATTAATGTGTACACTGGACCTCAATTTTTTTATCCCATCCAAACGACTATACATTGTCCCTTGCAAGGACCTCTGTCCTACACCAGTCACAATGGGGAACCATGCCTGAAAATCCCTATAAACCTTCTCAGCTAATACAGCGATCGAACAAGGGACCTCCAGGTTAACTCACTAAGCCACCGTGGTTACCTTATTATAGAAATCATTCTATTCCACTGATTTAAGACAACATTACTGACATTTTGAATTGGGATAATATCTGTAATGCAAATGTACATAAGTACACACAAATTTTACAGAAAATTGGTTGCCGAGCAATAAATATATACAACTCTCTACCAGCTACCACATTTATATAAAGGTTATCATAAACTTAACATGGTTTTAAAATGCTTGAAATCCATACTTCTAATTGTTCTTCAAGGGGTGTAACTCTGAGTGCAAACTGCTAAAATTGTTCCAAATTATCACTTTGTACAGCTGTATTGATGACAGTATGGGTAGAGACTAACCTAAAATGGTCACTAGCCATTTGGGCTAGTAGCTTTCAGATCTTACTAGCCCAGCCAACATTCTACTAGCCCAGTAAAAAAAACTGACACCAGACGTAAAAATTCTGATTTAGACTGTTGTTTTGTTCATCATTAATCAATCAAAAACACCAAAATGCATGCACTTAAATTTATTTTGGCAAATTTAATAATACAACAAATAGACTTTGTTCATTGTTGCCTCTGTTTTTTCATCAAATAATGAATTCATTAATCAGTCATGAAGACATACATTGTATATATTAAAATTCAATTTGATACATTTCATTTCATATTTGTCCTTTGGAAGTTTAATCTTCAATACAATAGATTTTTTCAGGGGCCTCATTTGTATTCATATTTCATTTATGTTTTATAAATTCAGTTGTGATGTGCAAAATAATATGATGTAATGTCCTTAAAATTTAATATCATAAGTTGTCACCGAGTGATGAAGTTATTTATAGCAGAGCATGTGTATTTACGAGTGTCTTCATTGCCATAATACATTGTATATCGCTGTTATAAAACCTTCTAACATCCATGTTCTTCGCTAAATTGCTTCATATTTTATCAACGATTAGGTTAGGCGATTTATGATAATTAACCTGAAATGTGACTGAAAAGTTATTCAATTATATCGACTTTCGCTTCATAATTCATCGAGGTGTAAACAGAGGCTGTTCCGTACCCTCCCTCGTTATCATACAATTTCAACCAATCAGCAAGCTCGCTTGCTCAGATTTCATACAGCTATGGCGAAATGGAACAGCCAAAGATTAAAAACACGTAAATAGTGATGGCGACGATTTTCGGGACAATGTTCATTAAGTACAAATTATCAATTATTACAACTATCAAAATATCAGGTCGCCACACCGGCTAATTGATTTTGAATTTCATTCGTCCGTACTGACTTTTACTCGCCATGGGCTACTGGGCGAGCGTTAGTTTCTATCCCTGGTATATATAAACACATGTAAAACTCAAATGACACCTTCATAGCCTTTTGGTGAAGTTTTAGTAATTTTAAGCTTTATCAGCTTCTTAGGATTTCAATAATTTACCGTTTTAACCCTTTCAATGCTAGACATGAATCCACTGCCTGTGCTAGACCCTTTTTTGAGAAAACCAGCGGCTGCCTCTCAGGATACGCCCACATTTTGCAAGAGATGGATAGAAAACAAGCTAAACAAAAAGCGATTTTTCGTACAATCAGGGGCCTTAAAGGACAATATTGGTGCCAGTCATTATCACATATGTGATAGAATTGGTTAAACACATTCCAAATATAATTTTATCTCAGAGATCATTGCTACGATAGCTGAGTAATACAGTTTTTCTGAATCGGAAGTGACGAACGCCAAAGGAAAACACGAGTCGCCTCTCTATATAACTGACTGATGTGACGAATGATAACGGATATACGGCCGAATTTCTGCTCACTAATAATTCCTTTGGAATGTAAAAACATGATTTTTTGTACAATCAGGGGCCATAATTCATGAATTTTCGGTCCTATACATGCCAATATCGAAAGCAACCAAGATCTTTTGGAGATAAACCTATATTTCAAGTTCCGTCAAAATCGGATAAGAATTGTGACCTGTAGAGTGTCCACAAACAATTGTGGACGGATGGACAGGGGCGACGGCAATATACGTCTACATGAAAATGTGGGCGTATAAAAAGGGGACTTGGAACTAAATGCCAAACAGTACTTATGGAAGCTTTTATGGAAATTCTTTTAGTGTGTTGGGTTGGGCTAAGAGGAAATAATAGAATTTGGGAAATTTGCATAATCATGTAGTCATGTGACGTCATGGCGGCCATTTTGGATTTCTCATTTCTCACTGAAGCTAAGACGAAAACTAATTTTTCTCCATAAAATATGGGATATTGTTTTTTTCACTGGATTTTGATAAAGATATATAAGATAGGTTGTATGGCAACGAAACATACGCCCACAGCAGCTAAATCATCCAAGCATTCGACAAGGGTTTTCGCATATTTATTCCTTTGTAGGTAATTGGGGGCCTTTACAAGAAAGTTCCATACAGATCAGATTATAAATTTTGTCGTTTGAGGGTTTACAAGGTTATACAAACTGAAACAAGGGTCTCAAGTGTGGAAGTAATCTACA